AATTATTTCCCATAAAAAAGCAAACATGAAAAACAAAAAATTACTAAAACCAAAGGAAAACATTTTCCTCAACAACACAGAAAAGTGGTGCGTGAGGGGTGGAAAGGGAATTTGATTTCCAGTCAAAAGTTTTGCAATCAAACACCATTTCCATTTTCCAAGGAAAATGGTGTGAATCAAACACTACTTAACAATATACAAACCCAATATAACCAGAAATTTTGAGTATGACAGCTTTGGTAGCTTGGTCATAAAAATCAAAATTCCAATAAAGAATTAAGAAAATCACATAAGCCCAATAAAATAATTGGTAGAAAAGAATTATTACATAATTTTAAATATTATTATATGTGATGCATAAAGAACAATCTCTAGTTATGAATTTTTGCAAAATGAACAAAAAATTCCTATAAAATAAGATGGCGGAAGTTCTTAGAATTTCTGAATTGTGTATGTTTGTAGAGAGAGAAGGGGGATGAGTGAGGTTCTGATGGAAGGAGCTGGGTTGAGTTGAGAGTTTAAAAGTAAATAAAATCCTATTTATTCTTGGATCAAACTGATTAAACCATCCTCTTGTCTAACCTTCCTTGAAGTTTTTCGACAGTTCAATTCCAATTTTGATGGCTCTCCATCAACTTGTATTTATTTTGGCTCTACTTTTTCAGCACCTTGTGTCAAGGATCGTAGCTTTACTTAAACCCTTTGACCCCATCACAGTCGCAATTTGACTAACTTCGACCTCACATTGTAAATATTAGTTCAAGTTTGAGTTTTAATTTTCTTTCAATTGTAATAGTTTATTTCAATTGTAAAATAGTTCTGACATTTGTAAATGTTTAGTATGATTTCTCGACATTTAAAGGTCTACTCCTATCATTTAGGTTTTTGTTTTGCAAGCTATTATAGGGGGTATTAGCCATTCAAAAAATTTTCAAACTTACTGGTGTTCGCCCCCTGCACTAGCCATTGCAATTTCCTACTTTCATCAATTGTAATTTCTAACTTTCAAGCAATTAATGATCAATTTACTTTCAATGCATCTCAATTTTATGTTGAAAGCTTTCTACAAATTGTAATAAAATTTTCTTTCGTCCCGAAACGATCGAGAGAGGCGGAAGGTAGTCTAGTAGAGCAGACTACTACCGCACGGTGTCCCTTTCTATGCTAAGAAAAAAGGCACCCATGAAAGTTGGTATCAAAGCTGCGGCTCACGACCCTCGATAAGAAAGCGATGGATCCAATTACATCCAACACCACAGAAGTAGATCTTCAAAAGAGGACTACGAAACAGCGCGTGGATGCGCTTGATGAGTCAACTACTAGGTTGTGCTATGTCGTAGAGGTCATCAAGGAAAAAGTCGAGGAGGCAGAGACGAAAATTCATGAATTACAATCCAACTGGATGAAATTGAAGGGCTTTCACAACAATGACTGAAACTGTTGCAATCATGCCTGATCTACAAGATGAAAAGGAAGCGTTGAGAGCTCAATTACTAGTTCTTCAACGTGTGGTTGGCAATGGGTCTTGCACGAGAGCATGTTCCCAGACTCAGAATTTCGAAACTGTGTACCTACGGAGGGGCACGCGATGCAAAAGAAGTCGAGAACTTCTTGTTCGATATGGAACAATACTTTCTTGCGGTTTCGATCGAAGACGAAGCAATAAAGGTTACAACAGCTACCATGTATCTAGGTGGAGATGCAAAACTATGGTGATAGATGAAGTATGTTGATATTTAGGCCAACAGGGTCCGAATAGATTCTTGAGATCTTCTCAAGGAAGAAATCAGATTTTAGTTTTTTACA